AGCTCACTTGGTAGCCCAGGCTGGCCTCGAACTCACAAAGATCCGCCTGCCTCTGCCTCCCGAGTGCTGGGATTAAAGGCGTGCGCCACCACGCCCGGCCTTAATCTTAATTCTTAATACTAATTTCTTTAAACACTTGACCTGCCTCAAAATGCCATCATTTAAAAATGGATGAAGCAAAGATGAACTTGCTTTGAAAGGATCAGGTGCAGATCTGTCTTTCTAAAAAGCAAGCTCTGGACCTCAGTGGTACCTTCAAATGTCAGGGAAATTCTGACTTTCATCCAAGAGAAATAAAAGCTAATTGTGCAAGCATGTATGTGTATGTGTGTGTCTCTGTGTCTGTGTGTATTAAATGTATCTGTGGGTGTCTGTGAACATGCATATGTTTAGGTGTGTTTATGTGTCTGTGTGTGTGAATGTGCATGTGTTTAGATGTGTCTGTGTAAACACTCTCCTGTTTAGGTGTATCTGTGTGTCTATGTGTGTGTGTGTGTGTGTGTGTGTAAATGTGCATGTGTTTAGGTGTGTCTGTGTGTCTGTATTTGTGTGTGAATGTGCATGTGTTTAGATGTGTCTCAGTGTATATCGGTGAACATGCATGTGTCATGATGTTTCTGTGTGTCTGTATCTGGAATTGTGTGTGTTTAGATGTGTCTATATGTGTTTGTGTATATGTCTATATGTATGTCTATATGTGTTTGTGAACATGTGTTTAGAAGTGTCTATGTGTATATATATCTGGTATATGCATGTGTTGAGACGTGTCTGTGTATCTGGGTACATGCATGTATTTAGATGAATCAGTGTGTCTGTGAACATGCATGTGGTTAGATATGTCTACATGTTTGTGAAGTTGAGAAGTTCATTTCTTCCCCTCTGAAGCTGGTCCTCTGGGAAAGTAGGGTCCCTCAGTCTCATTCTCTTCTCTGAATACTGATGCATTTCCTTTGAGGGATTAAGTGGAAATCCGTCATTCCTCTCCATTGTGTCTTAGCCCTTTACACGCACTTAAAGCCTCCTGACCCTGAGTGTCCACCCCGCAGCCAGACCCGCCGGGCCGAGGGGAGTGTTTGAATAGACCGTCGGCTGGAGACGGGCACAGCTGCTCCCATGTAGATGGCTTAAATGAACTGCCCATTGTTGCAGTTCATGACGCCCAGGTTACTTCCCTTCTGTTAAGTAGGAAGTATGTGATTGCATCTGACAGGGCCTCTGTGGCAGCGAGGGGGCAATGGCCAGAGAGCGCACGGCAGGACCCCGCTGGATGCAAGTCTTGGTGCTCCTCTTCTGGATCAGTGTGTAATAGAAATTCCTGTTAGTCCACAGTCTGCTTTCTGTTTTCCATCAGCAGACCAATCCAAAGCCTTAATGTCATATCCTCCCCCATTTAGCGCTCAGCTGTTTAAACGGAGGCCGTTTGTTGATTTTATTTACCTCAAGTCAAAACTATACTTAACTATATCCTCAAATCCATTGAGGGTAGCTGTGAGAATCTACTTTTCTCTCTCCTTGGCCCTTTTCCTCCACCTCCGTCAAGTTTCACTGAGCGCCACACCAGGTGGCTTCCTGGCCCCGGGTAGTGTCTGTGAGCCCCACACCTACACATGGAACGGTGTGTGGACAGGGCCTCAGGCTTGGGCTTCAGAACAGATCCACAGAAGCTGTTCTCCTGTTTCTCTTCAGGCTACTGTATATTAGGTCGCCTGTTATCCCAGCCAGTCTGGGGCTAGGGGCGCCCCATGTCTTCTCCCCTCACTGTGGCAGCTGCAGGCTTCCATGATGCACCAGCCTGACGATTGTGGGCAGGAAGCCACACACTAGGGGCTTGGTGTGGAAGACCTGGGCGTCTGTGCCGGGGCAGTATGATGAAGGCCTGCATTCGGGCCTCCAGGTCCCTTCTATGTCTGGCTTTCACCTGCCTGGGTTCCTTCATGCCTGAGAAGAAAGGTACATAGTGTGAAATCTCCCACTCTGCTCTCCCCTTTGATGTTGGTGTTCTGTGGGGGAACCTGTGTGTGTTGCCATACCCGGAACCCCAGCCCAGGATTCTGGACACTTGAACAGTAGGGCTTCTGGGCCCCCCAAGGCAGAGGAGAGAGGCCCCCTGGTACTGTTGAGTCTACCTGTGAGCCAATGACTTCTGTTTTCTCTTTCTCCAAAGAGGCCTAGAATGTTTGGCCAGGAAAATTCGACATAGTAACCAAGAGTTTTCTGCATATACACGGTGGTGTCTTAGTCTCACCGTCAATACAGGAACATAGACAACATCAAACGTGCTTCTCTTTCCGCTATGGAACTAGACAGCTAGTAAACTGCATGAGTTACTGAGTGGGTTACTAAGCAGTAATATTAGCGGTATCATGTTGCGTATGTTCATCAGACCCTCACGCACTGACTTCCGTGACTTGGTAGTTAGGGACAGGGGAGCTGGGCCTCTGGCTGACCTCGACTGAGGAGGAGCATCGACAGCCTCACAAACAGTGAACCCCGCTCTCTTCTCATCCCTCCTTTGGCCTGACACCAGCTTTGGGATAGTCTTCCCTTCAGTACGCCTCGATGACGACAGCGCGAGTCATTTTGTCACGGAGAGTCATTAGTTCTATAAACAGGTCCTCACTGCAGACCAACAAAGAATCCTGAGAACGTAATCCTCCAGCCAAAGTCACCACACAAAGAGGCAGACATCCTCGTTCTGGGGACCTGCTTTCCCTCTCCTGCGTTTCCCGTGGTTCCCTCAGGGTCAGCCCGTGAGTCTGGAGGAAGCTAACCGTGGGGCCGAAAAGCTCTTGTCGTCAGCTGCTGAGCCACAGGCTCTGTCCTCTCCCAGCCCGAGTGCCGTGGAGACCCACAAAGCTGGGGTGGCTGGGCCTTGCCAAGCCACATTAAGCAGCTGTGTAAAATGAATTTAAATGGCATGCATCAGAGTAAAATCTCCTCCACTGGGGCAGAAAATCAATGTTAGCTAACCAGCCTGAGAAGATCAACTCGGCTTCAGCCAGCAGCTTCCAGAGAGCTGCCTGGAAGACGGCGCCTCCTCCTCAATTCAAAACAAGAGGGGGAGCGAATACCGGAGCTACCCTGACGCCCCACACCTGGCAAAGGCATCCATGCCTTTTGCCCTGCCCGCCGCCTGTGCTTTGCTTTTCCTGGTTCCAGTATCCTTTCTAAAAGAGAAAGAACTCCCAGTTTTGTCTCTCTGTAGGTCACCCATCTGCCCCGCTTTGCAGAGCGCCAGCCTCCTGTGCCCGTTTTCAGAGGGCAGGCTTGGCTGTGAGAAAGAGTGTGTTACAAGTCTCTGCACCCGTGGCCGAGAGCCCTGGTTTGAGCATGTTCTGTTGCTCTGTGCTGTAGCTGTCTGGCGTCAGACTCACTGTTTGGTCTTTTTTTTCCCCCATCCATGGGTGGCAGGTGAAGCCACTTTAGAAAATGTGTTTCTTTTCGGGGAGGAAGTGAAAGCTTAACCTTTGGGCAGCCACAGTTTGTTAGACTGTTCTCTTTGTCCTTCCCAGAGAGCCTGGAGCCTGGGAAAGAATCACAGAAGGACAAATGGTTGATGAAGGTGGGAAGCGTGTGTCTGTGATTTAGCCGAGGCAGCCAGCTTGTGGCAGAGAGGAGGGATTGGGCATGGGTGTTGTGATGACGAGTTCACAAGTGGAGTGTAAGATACAGGAGAAAACGTCAGCTTAGCCGTTTGAAAAGTGTTGTTCTTGGGGTGACTTGTAAGTGTAAATCCACCTGCTGCGTTGAATACGCTACAAATACATAGGTTGTTTCTCTTGGTGACCCCTGCCGATGAAGGAGTGAGCGCATCTGTAATAGAAAGCGGAATGGTTTCTTCTGTGCATGTGCTGAGTTAGACACCTGACGGTACCTAAACATTCCAAGTTCGTGATTTATGAGGAGTAGCTGCACTCAGAAGGGGCCTTGCTGTGTATTGTTTTAAAGCATCAGTAGTTAATGTGGTTTAACTCTGGAGTGTGGCGTCTGTTCCAAGCATAGTCTGCCAGAAGCTGGGGAAGACCTTGGCCCCCTGCTTCCTGAAAAGCCCGTGCCATGAATCCTAGACACAGGCACAGCTTCTAGGGTGTTTTCAGTGACAGTTCATTATCTGTGGCCTTGACAGCACGGGCACTCACGTGAGGGAGCTTTCCTCACCCCTGCGCTG